ATCTCCGGTCTCTCAGCCGGCGGCTGCCTCAGCATGAATTCCTCAGCCAGGGCCACCGCCTGGAAGCAGGTCTCTGGGCCACGGTCTCGGACCCACCTCTGGATCTCTGGTGGGAGGATGGTCAGGAACCGCTCCAGGATCAAGAGCTCCAGAATCTGCTCCTTGGAGTGCCTCTCGACCTTCAGCCACCGACGGCAAAGCTCCTGGAGCTGGCCGTAAGTCCCCCGCGGCCCATCGGCCTCCCGGTAGCAGAAATGCCGGAAGCGTTGACGTAGCTTTTCTCTGCAGATGGTGTCCCCTCGCAAGATGGCCGCCTTCACCTTTTCATAGTCCTCTTTGTCTCGGGCCTCCAGGCTGTTAAAGGCCTGCTCGACCTCTCCGCTGAGGGCTGGCAGGAGTCGGGTCGCCCACTCGTCTCTAGGCCACCGACAGGCTTCAGCCACTTGCTCGAAGGCGGCCAGGAAGGCCTTGGCATTGTCCCACGGGGTGGGCTTCTCTGGCAGCTGTGGGATTGCCCCGTCTGAGAGAGGTGACTCTGCGGTCATGAGGAATTCCTGCCACTGGGCTTCCCATTGCTCAGCCAGACCCTCCTCTGGCTCCTCCTTTACCTGATGTGGAGATACTCTGCAGAGGGATCTCACAGTCCCTGCACATGACATCGCTTCCGGGGGATTCCCGGCCTGCTTCCAGAGCTGTGCTGGATCGTCCTCCACGTATCAGGAGATCACAAGTGTCTTTTCCTGTTACTCCCAAGGCCTTCCGTTGCGTAGGACCTGTGGGGTGTTTGGTCTTCCACGGGGATGATCTCACAAAGATATCAACAGAAAACTCTGGAACACTGGGCAGAGACCTAGACGGGCACACAGAAATGTTGAAGAAAAGACCCAGAAAACCAGAAGGAGAAAAAATGAACACAAATAAAATTGTTCAGCCCACAACAATTTCATTTTACATGTGAAATAAGTAAGTGGAGTCACCTCATGGCAGCACCATGCTTTAATCTGCATACACTGGCCTGAACTAGTTGTTTTTTTTTAAGAATATTGTAATGATTCCTAAAGGTATAACTTGAAGAATTCGCACAATGCTCCTTTGAGTCAAGAGCCTGGAAGGCAGCCTTTAAATTGAGACTGAAAGTTCTTTATATGACACCTAATGCTCAAGGAGGTTTTCTTTATCTTTTAAAAGGGGATAATTATAAATGTACGTGGGCAAAACATATAGATAACAAGCTGGAGTGGATTGGTCTCGCCCCTACGGGGCTTAATAATTTAAATTATCAAGAAGCGCTAAATTTGATGAGATTGAGGGTGACAAACATTGACCGACTCAGCACTTCAATTCGTGCTAGGCGAGTATGCTCCAACTCTGCCTTAGGGATTGTTCCACCTAAGAAAACTCCCTCATATATGAGCTTCCTTACATCCCCCAGATCTAGATATGTCTTCACGCTTGCAAGGTTGAATGTTTTTCCAACTGTAGAGCTAAGTGGCCGTTACAAAGATATCAACAGAAAACTCTGGAACACTGGGCAGAGACCTAGACGGGCACACAGAAATGTTGAAGAAAAGACCCAGAAAACCAGAGGGAGAAAAAAATGAACACAAATAAAATTGATCGGCCCACAACAATTTCATTTTCAATGTGAAATAAGTAAGTGGAGTCACCGCATGGCAGCACCATGCTTTAATATGCATACACTGGCCTGAACTAGTTTTTTAAAAAAAGAATATTGTAATGATTCCTAACGGTAAAACTTGAGGAATGGGTTAACTTCTGTGATTGACAGAGCTGAGGGGAAGGTGGGGAATGGAGGGAAAGGGTTCTAAACTGCCAAGTTTGGGGGGGGCAGAGAAAATTCTAGATGAGTGAGGAGTATGGATGAAGGGACTTTGTGAGGTAGACAACCCCAAAAAGGATCCTTGGAAAACGGATGTGTGGTTCAGTACTCCCTCTAAGCTGTGGAGTCTTGAGAGCAAAAATTCTACTTTGTGAGCAACTGGCATTAAAGTTGTGAGCGAGCCATTTGGCTACTGCATAAATTTGTTTACTCTGGAGCCATCCTTCCTGAGCTAAGACCAAAATGTGTGAGCTGGAGGCTAAAAAACTGTGAGCTAGCTCACACTAACTCAGCTTAGAGGGAACACTGGTGTGGTTCTCTGAAAGATCCCCCGTGAGTGGGTCTGTACCCAAGAGAGGGCTGGACTGCAGAATACGAAACATTCACCTCCAGGGAGAGGAGATGTATTATGAACCCTGAGAAAAGGGGAAAGCTCACAGAAAAGTCGGGATAACATGATAATACCCTCTGTTATAAAGTCTGTCGTTTATATTCAGCTAAAGTATCAATAGAAACCATACGCTTTCACCTTGTTCTCTACGAATAAAGTTGTGTTGTATGCTTGAATTTCCCTCTAGCGAATGTCTCTGTCCAGAACTACTCCAAAGAAACTCTACCAAAGGCATCTCATACTACCCTAGTTAACCAGTTCGTAAAATAAAAAAGGGGCAAATAAGATGAGTTAGTGTGAGCTAGCTCACAGTTTTTCAGCCTCTGGCTCACACATTTTTGTCTTTGCTCAGGAAGGATGGCTCCAGAGCAAACTAATTTATGTAGCAGCCAAATCACTTGCTCACAGCTTTTATGCCAGTAGCTCACAAAGTAGAATTTTTGCTCACAAGCCTCCACAGCTTAGAGGGAACATTGCAAAGGACCACAAGAAATATCAGCAAACATTACCGATATCTTCATTTTTCTGTAAACGCATATGTAAAGAGCCATCCAGCTGCAGCCGACTTATGACAATCCTGTAGGGTTCTCAAGGCAAGAGACAAAAGGAGGTGGTTGGCCACTGCCTGCCTTTTTGTAGCAAGACTAGACTCTCTTGGTGGTCTCCCATCCAAGGACTAACCAGGACCAATCCTGCTTAGCTTCTGGGATCTGATTAGAGCAAGCTAGCCTGGGCCAACCAGGTCAGGGCCCCCCTTCCATTCAGGCCAGAATAAACCAGCCAGTCTCTAGAGCTCCACAAGGTTCCCATTTCGAAACACTTCATATAGCTAGACTTCTGAAGCTGGTGGCCCTTTGGAGATGCCTCTGCCATTCTGTTTTCCCTTTGGGGACTAGGCATCACAGAGCCAGTGGTGTGTCGTGGTTACAGCATCAGATTGGGATCTGAGAGGCCCAGGTTCAAATCCCCACTCAGCCACAGAAACTGGCAGGGCGACCTCGGGCCACTCACACACCTCCGCCTTAATCTCTACCCCTGATCCATCTAATCCCCTTTTAAAGCCTTTCCTAGCCCATATGTGCCCCGAAGAGCCTTGCGGTCACAGGACCAACATTTACTGGTTGCCCCAGGTGAAAAGGATGCCCACTTAGCCTGTTTCTGCCTTGGCCCCCGACCTGGTGGAATCAGCTCCCCCTGGAGATCAGGGCCCTGCGTGACCTCTATGGTTCCACAGGGCCTGCAAAACAGAGCTGTCCCGCCAGGCCTTCGGTTGAGGTGGCCGGCGTCCACCTCAGCTGGCCTCCCTGCTTTGGTTCCCAACCTGCTGGAAGGGCCCGTCTGATGACACCTTGTGGCCCCAACAGATTTATATTGCTGCTACCAATTTTATTGTTTATTGTTTGCAGGGGTCATTTCCTGCAGGAGCGCACAGGAGCGGAGCTCCGGCAGTAAAGAGCCCAGGGGGCGGGCACATGCAACAAGCCCCACCCCCTGCTCCCAGCAGCCCTCAGTCAGAGCAAGAAGCAGCCAGGTAAGTTGCAGAGCTCCCCTTGGTCCACGACAGTCCAGTGGCACCTTTAAGACCAAGTTTTATTCAGGCACAAGCTCTCCCTCCTCTGTGAGGACAGATCTGCACGGCCCCCCCCCCAATAGCTAGCAATCCAAAACAGTCCA